CACCATTTTTATATTTATTATTGTCTACCTATGTACTTACGCTGTTATTGTACGTATGCTCGCTCTCAACATTTGATCATGCCTTGTGCATATCTCACGGGCTTCGTGAATTATACACCTATTATTATTATTATTATTAAAGAAAGTTTGAAGCGTTAGATCTCTTCTCTATGGGAAGAAGACGCCTCAGGGGTGATGTCATAGAAACGTTTAAGTTAATGAAAGGATTCACCACCGTAAGCGCCGAAAGTTTGTTCACTCGAGCGCCCGTACAGGCCACCAGGGGACGAGCTTAAAGCTCTTAAAAACCAGGGGCTCGCCTTGGTATGCGGTTTAACTTCTACACGAACCGAGTGGTTGATAGATGGAATCAGCCACCACCTCACCTGGCGGATTATGCGAGTACAGTCGATTTCAAGAGACAGTTAGACAGGGTTTAGACCCAAATATACCTAGAGGTAGGATAGAATCAGGGTCAGAGATTGTTTAGGGTTGACATGCTACTGGTTTTCCAATTAATCTTCTTTACAGGTATCGTACTGGAACCAGTTTCCTGCCGCAAAACAGTTGCAAGACAGCAACTGAAACGATTTTTGAAGATTTGAGAGAAGAAGCCTTCATATCGAAGCAAGAACCTGAACGCTTGATTGGTGAAAGCCTTTTTCGTCCTGTGCAACCTGACCTGACCTGCCCTGACTGAATTGACCTTCACCCTTTGCGGTACGTTCGAAATTTGATCCTGCCTTGCCATCGAATTTCCCGCGAGTCTAGAGCCCCAATTATCTCGACTTACCTTTCTAAAATTAAGAAAATATGCTATCCTTACTGAATTTTTAGTCATGTTATCCGCTCACCAGCTCCCTCTGTCTCTAGGCAAAGATACCTTTCCAATGCGTCAAGACGAGGCTACCTTGAGCTCGGAACACTCTTCAACCGATTTGTTGGGGCTTATTCACGAGCAAGCCTTAGAAATAAAAGACCTTAAAGCTAGGCTGAGTATATTTGGCGACCAGCTAGCCAACTTACAAGCTCTGCTCCTAACGTCAGTCCCAACAACCTGTGCTGCGAATACGGCTTTCGCAGCAAGAAATACTCGACGCAGCTAAAAAGCTAAAGGATAGCGAACAATGTGCCAAGCGGGTTATTTTTTGGAGGCGGTTCTCTATGTCTGACACTTTAGAAAGCATATGTAAGCATATATGCAGCCTTCTACAACCGCATAAATTCAAACCCCTTAGCTGTACCTGGCTAACCGCCAAAGGTTCGCCCAGATGTCTCGGCCTTCTTGTCGATATGGGGTCTTCCAAGCTTGCCAATGATGTTCTTATCAAAGCTCCCACCCTTAAGCGCTCCTGGTTAGGTTTAAGAGGTGTCTCCATAGATAAACTGCTGCATGTGAGACTTTCACAGGCCTAACTAAAAGGTCCAAAAGTTGCTCCTAGAGACCCCGAACTGTTGAGAAGCGCCTTCATCTCAGGAGTTCAGCTGGACTCAAAGGTTCTTATGTCTCAACCCTCTTCCCCAGACCCCAGACCCTTAGACGAGACAGTAGTCTGCCTTAAACCAATGGCGGTCAGCTCAGCAAACAACAGTTTTATAGAACAGAATCAGACTTCAATCAAGGCCTCTGGGAATAAGAAGCAAAAGGAGCTGAAAAGTAAAAAAAGCAGACTAAACCCAGCCCGGTCCGCAAACTAGCCCCACATAACACTAGAAGAGAGCTCCTCGGGGACGTTCCCAGTCGCAATCAGGTGAGTCTGGACACACTGCAAAAGCTGCCGGAGGCCGATGAAGGACCAACGCTTCACCCAGTGAATGGTTGCTCCTGCGGTGTGCCCTCCCAGCTCGATAACGGCAACAACAGAGCAATTTTTCGGACGAAGGGTGCGACAAGTCGTCCGCCAGAGAGGTTCATAAAGAAAGCCCCACCGATGGTGAGATACCTTCTCAAAATAGCCCCCGACCAACGTTCGCTCAAACCGTACGTCGACCACCTCTAATGTCGCTTCCGACTGCTCAACCGGTCCCGTCTTTCTCCCTAACGGACTCAAGGACTTTGATGGACGCATATTTAAATCATTTCTAACAACTTTCTTAGCCTCCCAAACAAAGTTCTTGAATTAAAGCAACTTACCTTAGAGCAACGCCCCCATGTTATCACCCTCACCGAGACCTGGCTCAACGAAACTGTTCTAGTTGGGGAAATCTCCATTCCTGGCTTTACATTGTTAAGATCAGACTCAGCTCGGCGCAGGGCAGGTGGTGTCATAGCTTATTTTAGTTTCGCTCTTCATCCTCCCTTATTCCAGTCGACCCAGTACTCCTAATAGCTGCTTTATGTGTGAAACGTGGACTCTTGAAGTCAGTCACACTCCCACTTGGAGTCGTGTACCGTCCCCCGCAGTGTTCACCCATCGAAATTCAACTACTCATTGACCAATCAAGGTCAATAAGCGGCACCCATCCTTTCAACCACCTAATTACTGGTGACTTCAATGCCCCGGGTTTTCATTGGCTCAGAGCATTTTCTTCCGACCTTACTTTTGGTCGTCCTCTTATTGATCTAGTACTGGAAAACTCCTCGACTCAGCACGTAGACCAACCTACGAGGTTCCGCCCAGGTCAGCCTCCTTCATTTCTAGATCTTATTATAACGAATGAAGACGATCAGATCGACGTGGTAAATCAACTTGCACCTCTCGGAAAGAGTGACCACTTAGTTCTGCTGGTTGACTACATTATAAACTGGAAAACCTGAATTGAATTTCCACAAATGGTCAGATCGTTCAAGCGTACCAACTTTGGCTCCTTACGAGAGATTTTTTAGGACACAGTTTCACGGCCTTCCTCTGGACCTGCCCGTAGAGAATCTTACAGAGCATATCGAACAACTCATCACTTCAGCTGACGAGCGATTCGTCCCCCGTGTTCTCGCACGCCGTAGTTCTGAATCACCTCTCCCTCGGCCCATCCGCAGGCTTTTAGATGAGCGGTCTAGACTGTTCGCAAGATACAAGCAAACGGGACTCGAAGCTGATGGACTAGCCTTTAAAAGGCTCAGGAACATCTGCCGATCATATATTAAAGAGTACAAACTGCGTACTCAAAGAGCTATACTTAAACGGGTTCAGAAGAACAAACCGTTCCTTTACAAGCATATCCGTCGACTGCGCGGCACAACTAACCCCTCTCTTGCTCTCAAGTTACTAGACGGGACAGAAGTAACTGCCCTTCACAGATTGCGGGTGAATTTAAAAAGCACTACCAGATCATCTTCAGTTCCGCTTCCAGCACTACCTTCTCGATACTACAACCCTTTCCACTGAACTCTACGCTTAGCCGTGTAACCTTTTCACTGTTTGAAGTAGACNTAGACAAAAAACTACGGAACCTCAACCCTTACTGCTCTATGGGGCCCGAAAAAGTGCACCCTAGAATTCTCTGGGAATCGGTGGATATCTCAGGTGGCCCACACTCCCAACTCTTCCAACGGTGTATGGATGAGGGAATATTCCCTTCTCGCTGGAAGGCCGCAGTTCTCTCCCCCATATATAAAAAGGTAGTAGATTCCTTCCAGTAGGCTACGTTCTATCTCCCTGACTGGCGTCCCTAGCAAAATTCTAGAGCGCATGCTAAAAGAGGTCATCTTGAAGCACCTCTGCGCAAATAATTTACTTTCTACCTTCCAGCAAGGATTTCTGCCAGGCAGATCTTGTATCACCAATATGCTGACTATCATGGATAGTTTAACAAAGGCTTATGATGAAGGCGAAATCTCGTACGCCGTATACATAGATTTCGCCAAAGCCTTCGACAAGGTCCCACACGTCCCACTCATATACAAGCTAGGGGTGTGCGGCACCACTGATCCTCTTCTATCATTTATTAGCAGCTTTCTCTCTAATTGCATTTTTACGGTAAGGGCTAACGGTATAATATCCGAACCAAGTATTATTGCAACCGGAGTCCCCCAGGGATCTGTTCTTGGCCCTCTTTTCTTCCTTATCTATAGTAACGATCTACCCAGTGCATTGCCTGCAAACGTAGCTATGTAGGCAGATGATGTCACTATCTAGAGCATTGATGCCCACACGCTCCAGGCATCTATTGGTGCTCTTAAACACTGGTCCGTTGAATGGAATCTGCCTATCAATGCTGACAAGTGTGTAGGAATGACTTTTGGGAA